ATCTCAAAGTGCATCAAACACCAGTGGGTTGTCCAAGACCAGTACTTTGAAATCACGTATGTATATAGCAATGTAGTTAAACTCTCCACCTGAGGGGGGAAAATGCACCCACTGTCCGTTCTTCACATGCATGTCGCAAAAGAACAGTTAGTGGGGTTGAGTCCCTTGAAGTCAGAATGTATCGGTCTCAGAGGCGAGCAACCAACAGCTTGCATACAAATAAGCCAGAACTTCAAGAGGTCTGCGCAAGGAAAACCTCAAGTTCTAGAACAAGACCAAAAGTCCAGAAGTGGACGAACAACTAAAACTTTCAGCTGGAGTTTACAACAGCTAAACGCTACGGAAAAGAAACAAGATGTAGTCAATCCGTGGTTTAACACAGCTCGAATAGAAATATATGTGATAAGGCGTTGGCTGGTGATATTTCTCTCAACGTTTTAAATATTTCATTATAAATATTCTTCAGTGAAATTCCCAGTCAACAAACCAGAAAATAGTAACCATGTAAATGTGATGTCTGAGAAATGCTGCATGGGATGTCTGAGAAAAGCTGCAAGGGTAACCAAAAGAAATAAATCAGAAATATAGTCCTGAGAGAAGAAGTTAGCTCATAACCAGTATTAAATAATGTGCAAAGACGGGACATAGCACACACACAGAGAGAGAGAGAGAGAGAGAGAGAGAGAGAGAGAGAGAGAGAGAGAGAGAGAGAGAGAGAGAGAGAGAGAGAGAGAGAGACAGAGAGACAGAGAATATTTTGTGCCGCCATACTATTTAAAGCATATACTTAAAGAGGATAAGGATGTAGAGCACAAGGTAGACCATGAAGAAGCTGAAACTCTATAAGAGAAGTTTCTTCGACACCCGACAAGAAAGCAAAGAAGAGGAAGAGTTCTTGAGAGAGACTGTTCGTTTTTTTAAAACAATCATAACATTATGCACCAAAAATATTTTCTCTATTTTAAGTCACCGTCTTGATATAGTGACAGTTCTACAACTGCAAACATATGTTCTGCATATGTGTGTGTATGTGTATAATATAGCCTCTGTGATAAGAAGAATTGAAACAAAATGTTACAGAATTCACTGACAGATGTATTGTATTTTTGGATGTCTTTGTTTGTTCCTTTGTTTATTACTTTCGCGTTTTCAAGCAGCACATAAATAAACATAAAACGAACTTGTGGCTTTTAACCCAAGGTTTGCTACTTTTGTTTATATTAGGTACATTTCCGGTGACCTTTGTTTATGGCAAGAGTAATTCTTGTGACCTTTTGTCTATCACTACCGGAGTTTTTAAACGAATTTTTCAAACACATGAATAATGTACACAAAGGCTACACAAGAAGAGTGTCAGAATAGTTTTTCATGCTCAGATTAGGTCAAGTCTGAAGAAGTGTTGAAGTGAAACACATCCGGAGCAAGACCGTACTTGGCAGACTATGCCGGGGATTCGTTAAAAATAATCAGGTCCCCAGCAATGTAAGGTTTATGTTTTGTAGTTACCGGAAATCTACTACTTAGTATAAATAAACATGGCGTGACTCAAGTTACAAGCTCTAAGCTACTTGTGAGATTTCTTCTTATGTTTACTACATGAAGCTGGCAATAATTTTATAGAAACAGGGCACGTAGTAAACATTGCCGTAATGTCAATGTCACTGTATGTTGAATTTTTCTTTATCCATCTACTGTCAGGTGCGCTGGAACCTGTGGGTGTAGGGGTAGGCACCTTGAAACCCTTTCCTCTTTTCAAAGAAAATGTAGCCAGGGAAGGCGGGAGCTCATCATCCCCACCCCTTCCCTGAAACGATAAAATGCTAAAGTCGCTATGGAACGCCCAAGCCCCTTCCCACGTATAGAAAATCTATTTGTTGTTTATCTTCTAAGTTTTTGTTTATATAGTTAGTTGCGTATCCTTTACAGGACGTTGCAGAACCAACCCCAGCGGTGTTTTTTTTTTTTTTTTTTTTTTTTTGCTGTTGTGGTTTTCCAGGGCAGATCTACGTCCAGTAGTTTGCCATTGCCAACTGGACGGTCGGCTTTTCGATACCACTGTCGAAACCAACGCAAGGCGCAGAGCCCGCAGTTGGGATCGAAGCCGGCCACAGACGCCGACTTTGTTAATATACATTGTTTTATTTAAGGTTTAGTGTTCCATTTATTTTGTAGCCTATTATTATGTACTTAAACAAAGATTAGGCCTTTTGTGACGACCCCTCCCCGGGGAAATTTGTAAAGGGGGCTGAGCATAAGGTTTTCCTTGTGTGCGGCACCCCTGCCCTGTCTGCTTTGTGAGGTCCAGCAAACGTGAAATGGCTGAGATTCTCAAGTGGCAGTAAATCAGATTGTGTGTTGTTATTCGTACTTTCGCCCCACTCCCTGGGGATTGTGTAACCCCATTTTGGGGCAAAAATGAATAGATCCGCCACCCCCTAAAAAGCATACTGTAAAAAGCCAAAAAATTAAGTGTTTGCTGCAATTCAATGTTTTGGGCCGAAAGCCACATGTGTCGTCACCTATCTGTAAACCACAATGCAACTTGCAACAGTATTTCTAGGGCCAATGCAAAAGTGAATGAAGTTTTTGACCCAACAACGTTATCGGTTTTGATTGGTGAATCTTCTGCATAACTGAGTTTTAACTTTGAAATCCAAATATTTTACCTTGTTTTGACTCTAAATAAGATGAGCACTTATTGGAGTGAGTTTGGTATTGTCTACATAACACTGCGTGCCGTTGCGTCACCAGTTGCTGTGACTGATCGCTTCGCTTCACCTCCATCGACCAGATGCAATAAGCATGATGTTTACTTATTCGGTACTGTTCACGTTTCCCGCCCCGTTTACACACTGTGTGACCTTTTATTCATACTTTCTCATACTCTTTAACATCTGGGGAGGAAAGGGGGGGGGGGGGGGTCACGTTGTCTTACCTCGAGTTACATCAGCGCCGATATATCGCGTGTTCTATACTACACGACGACACAGCTTTCGTCGACCCCAGTACATCTAGACATCTGATTATTCCGGTTAAAATGGACGCTAGACAGCGGCGCTGTTCGGAGCGGAGGCAAATTTTTTGCTTCTGCCGGACGGTGGCCGGAGTATTTTTGCTCCATTTGTAGACTGGATATAGTTTCGTCGCCCAGCTTCTGAGTTGAATGCATGGCGTGACCCTGTGAGCTGCGGATTGCATTTGGAATGTTTTTTCGACTGTGACCAACGTGGTGTGAATTGTAGATTCAGAAAATGGCGCGATGCCGGTCGTGCAAATGCTGGCGGGGCCCGTATTAAAATTGATCGCGCGGGCAACTGCTGATCTGTTGGCGACAAGTTCTGCTATCATCAATGATGAACTGCATTTCTAATGTTGGACTGTTTGTGTTAGCACTTCGGATGGCTACCATTTGCGTTAATGCGAGTGTATGCTAGATATGCTGAGACAGCAGTCTGTCAATCTTTCCACAAGGGACTGTGATAAACATTCTGGGTGTTTTTCGCTGGCACAGGAGCGGAGCAAAGATGGGGCGACCCGTTTGCTATGAAGCTGAAACTAAGACTACCAGACTACCAGACATCTAGATTTGGCACTAACCCAAACCCCCTTCCAACAGTCTGAGCCTAGGTCACACGAGAGACTATTTTCGAAAAAAAGCAGTACAACGTGACAACATTCTTACCTAGATCAGACTGAGATAGTCTGTAGATGGACCGAGAAACGTGAACAGGTCCACATATTTTATACCTGTCCAGTCAGTCAAATTATGTTTCTTAGCTTCCTGTCTAAAGAACCTTCTAGTATCGTTTTGAAAATAATCCGATCTGTAAGTCAACATGTTGTATATCAGGCAGTATTCCAAGTCAGACTGTCTACTCAAGTTTTCATTGGATTGCCTCTTCTCTTGTCACATCTACAGAACTCTGTTGTATCGTTGCGTATAATAATCTGATCCACATAGTCGTCTTAAGCAGCATTCTAAACCTTGTATAACCATAACTATTCTTTCCGCGAGGTGGTAAGTAAAGAAATCTATTGTGTGTCGTGTGGTATATTGCCATATTGGCGATAGCAAAATATATGTAAAACCCAAACACACTCCATGCTATGCGGGCCATATTTTTTTAAAATTCTCCTGGAAATTACCTGTTGCCCATTCATTGTCCAGTCTGAGTCGACAAGGGATACCAGGTCAAAGATAAAATCCACATTACCAAAGCCTATGGAAATACAACGTCCATATAGAGCAGACTGAGCTGCTGGATTCTGACTTCCCTCCCTTAAAAAAGAAAACATGAGCTATTCAAGATTGGTGCTGAAACTCTCCGTCGTTGGGGTAGAAAATCGGGGGGGGGGGGGGGGGGGGCTGCCCTGCTAAGAACCGTGGCGAAAAACGCGACTAATTAAAAACTTCATTAAATCAGAATTGTTTGGCAGAAAAACACAGAAATGACAGTCTAGCTGAAAAACACAACACAACCGCCATTTTAAGGTTGAGGTAGAAGAAGGTACTGAAACTCAACAACCGTGAAGGAGCAAGAAGCATATTGTTACTGTGAACCTGGTCGTTCGCAAATTAATACTGATAGAGTAAGAACTTCCGTACCTTCATGGAACCCAGCGTTCACTCCCATGTACTTGTACATTCACGCTTTTCACATTCTTGACCACAATACTTCTCTAAACAGATATCATAAAATTAAGTGATAACATGTCAGTAAATAATGAGGGAAAGAAAACACTATATTAGGCGACGACAGTGGGTGGGGGCGAAGAGATGGCTAAACCAGAAAACGTTTATAATTACATTTTAATATTGTTAAATAAAACAAGGTCATTAAAATATAAAAATACAATTGATCTGTGAATTTTAAAATATGTATACTAACATGTCTTTCATCATATACACAACAGATCATATGCCCACTCGTGCTAAATTGCTTTGTGTTGCGGTACTCATTCATAACATTTTTTCACGTACTACTTCTTGTCTTTCTCCTTTAAAGATTCATTCTCAACGATATGCAGAAACAAGCTAACAAAGTAGTAAGAATGCAGTTTCCCACAGATCTGAATGATGCGTTGTCTGGAAACGTGGTCTTATCGGCTAAAGAAGAACCGTCTTTGGATGTCTCTTTATCTCCGGCCAGATCAACAGAGGCTTCTGTCCGGCCCTCATGAACGTGACCACCGGTAACATTGGCTGTATGTGTGTGGTCGGCAGTCTTCGGTTCAATGGTTGTGAGTTTGTCTGGCGAAGGCTTGTTATCTACTTCGCTAGTTACTGGCTTTAGAGTTGAGGCCATGTGTGATGACGTTGAAGGTGACTTGCGGGAAGTTAGTTCTTTGGATGCAGTCGAAAATGAATGGTTTGACTTCTGAGGTATCGTTGTTGACAAAGGCGAGCTAGATGACGTAGGAAGTGTGACAGATGCTCTCTGAATGCCACCAGTTGAACTCGATATAGCAGCCGAAGAAGACATAACCTTGGTGCTCTCTGTAGTGCTGTCAGAGCTCTCTTCCCATAACGGACAAAGATCTTTTTTGGTAAGATCCGCAATTCTAAATTTCTGTACATCCTCTTGTGAACGTTCGGGGAAAATGCATTCATTGGATGTCAGGTAATCCTTAAATGATGGACTGCCTAGTATCCAAGCGATATCACAAGTGCACATAAATACATTTGCATGCAATACCATCCTACTAGTGGCATCAGCCAAGCTATCAAAGCATTTTTCCGAGACTCGCTGAATGATATTTTTATAGATAGTAATATCATCAACCCCAGAAGCACCTAGAAAAAGCTCCTTCCCCAAGGAAGTGATGTTGTTCTGGTACAGCTGGAATGAAATAGTGTCCGTAAGTTTATAAAATGCCTCATCGTAAATGGCGTCAAAGCTGCTGGACCACATCCTCAAATCGACAATGTTGTTAATGTTAGAGAAGGCGTGCTTGTCCACTCGGCCGAACCTGCAGTCGGAGATGTGGAACTTGCTAATGTCAGTCAACCCATTGAAGCTGTCTGGCTCCACTAGGTCAAAGGAAGAGCTTGTGATGGAAAACAGGTCCAGATTGCTTAAACCTGTACACAGACAACAAGAAATAATCGTTAGTTCATAGTCATATTTTGAAAATGCATTCTAAAAAAAAAAAAATTGGTTTGAGATACAGTCAGCTTGTTGTCTGTATGTCTTTTTTGCCCCCTTTTAAATATTGCTATTTCTTGTTTAATAAAGATAAGAAATTCCTGAGAAGATATCTCTACATGTCGATGATGAAAAGGATTGAAAAAAACGGACAAGAGTCAGGAAGGGAAGAGTAATAAAGTAGAAAATGACTGCAGATAGGTTAGGAGCTTAAAATGGCTTTTGGGAAGAAGCACAATAAATAAATGAGATGAAAAGAATGGTCCCGAAATCTAATGGTAAAATTACAGACAACTTTGAATTAACGCTCTGGGTTTTGCTAGCCACACTCGCCATCAACATTGGCTATTATCCCTATAATTCACTATAGCAGAGAAAATACTGTCTCTGGAAAGACTGAAAGGTGCCTACTCTGCATGCAAAGATACGCTCGCTGGGTGTTTCTTCTTTACATGAAAATACAAGAAAGTCACTGCTCACAGACATAATTTTAACAACTTTATCGCTACATAGAGCCTCCTAATTATGACCCTAGTCATAGAATACATCGTGAATAAGACTGAAAGTCGTCCTCTGGTTCCTCAGTTAGACTCTTATCAGATACTTTCCGAGCTAGAGGTCGGTGATACAACTTTAAGCCACTGCCATTAAAGCCACTTGAATATGTCCATTTTCGAACAAGCAAAACAACTGCTAGCTTACACTTTACAGAGGGAACTTTTGGCTATAATGACCGATTTGTTCAAGCTAGGCTTTGCTAATACAAATGCTCATTTTATGGACGGGGACTCCAAAGGTTTCGTCGCCCAACTTCTGTGTTGAATTCTTGGTGCCACACAGTGAGCTTCGATGATTTTATGTGGAATCTTTTTTTCATTCGTTGTGCCCGCGGCATATTGTTGAGTGCACTAAAAACATGTCGAGTGAATGATTACATTACGAATGGCGCATACATTTGTGTGTGCAATGCTGACTTTCGTGACTGACCATTTGTGCCAACAGTGAACTGCATTTCTGGTAAGGGAACGTTTGTTGGCACATATAACACCTGAACTTTACATTTGTACTTTGCGCGAATTTTCTAGGACTGACGCATTTTTAAGTACTTTTCAAATGGGACAGTGAAGTACATTTTGTGTGATTTCTAAAGCCACGGGAACGCAGCATAGACGAGACCGGCCATCTGCAGTGATGTTGAAATCTAGACTAACAAATAATAATGTACCAAGAGTTATTGTTGGAAATGTAATTTATTTAATAGTGTCGATTACGAGAACCTGTGATTGTTCGTTGGTGGTGTCTTATATATCAGTATCTTTGTTGTTCTTGTGCTCTGTAACTAATTTTTTTATAGTACGGGTAGTTTTGCAGGTTTTTTCTCGGTCTGTGATACCTTATACCAAACAGCATGCGTGCTTGTGTTTCATGAAGCTTTCAAGTCATTTTATGAGCAAAAGTCACCCACCTTGCAAGGAGCGGAAAATGACAAACTTTATGAAGAAAAGAGCAAGGAGAAGAAAGAGATAAATAAATACTTTGATAGCTTGGCAACTTTGGATGAAACAAAAACTCAGATCTTTTGTCTAATTCTAGAGACTGTGTGAGAACTGCAAACGCCTGCCTTACCTGCATGGTAAAGGTGATGTAGGGTACATGCAAGACATGCTTCTGATCTGTAGTTTTATATATATATATATTTAAAGTGCCACCTTCTTAATACAAGGTTGGCTACAGTGTACGAACTTTTATGTCTTTGAGGATACTACACGAGAGATCTCATTCTCTTGCACAGTGCGACTCTCGCACCGTCGTCCGAAAAGGACTATTTTTTTTTCAAATATAACTCTTCCGCTGCGGAAAAAAAACTCTAGTACTTGAGAGTCATGAATATGTTAAACACATTCACTAACCTCTAAATCATACGGCCTCACTGATGTATCATTAACTTATGCTGGATTTACCTGCAAACGCCATGCTTTTGATGACCTTGGCATTCACCGAGCTCAACTCCAGCATCCGAAGATCCTTGGCCTTGGCAAGAAACCCTGGTGGTATCTCATCCATCTCTCCCCTGGTTAACACAAGCGTGTCGGTTCCTAAAGGGAGGAGGTCCATGTCTAACGTCCTGAAGTCGGAGCAAGTGACGAAAGCATCGATACAGAAACACGTATCTGGACAGCTTTGTGAATAAGGCAGCGTCGTCAGAAACAAAACTGCTAGCAACACCAGAGAGAACGACGGGATCACCAGCGGCGTACTGTTGGCCATTTCTTTTTTGTTACAGTCTGAAATGAACAATGAACATACTTATTGTTTTGTAAACGTAATACGTTTATCTACATGTTAAACTGGTAAACACAAAGTAGTTAATTTGAATACCTTTTTCGTGCATCCTCCTAGAAAGCATAAGCTTCCAAATCACCTGCAGCTGGGATCTAACCCGGCAACCCGGCATTACGAAGCGCGTTCGCAACGCCTAAGCACAGACGCTGACAAGAATTCGTTTAACTATTAACTAAGAAATAATTAATGCTAGCAGTTAACCCTTAACAGGAAACGAACTCGCAACCTTTAGAAGCCACTCTCTACTATGCCACGACGGAATATCAGAAAATCCTAGGGAATATGAATCTTCAAATGTTATAGTGAATGAAATCTCAAGAGAAAAATGCCAGCACAAAATTTCCCCTATCTGCTAATAGTTAATTCTAATACGCCTCAGAAAAGTTTGAGTATTAGCCGTTACTAGAGAACATTTGGTGTAACTGACCACTTGGTTTTCTCTTGATTCCAGCGCCACGACTGCTGTCGAATTCCAACACTTAGAGGCGACGGCGCATGGAAATCACTGGGGGAGCGGGTAAGCTCGGATTCGTTTTAATTTACCAGAGGTCTGGATAGGAGCTCAAAGGGGTTTGAGCCTTGTTTAAATATCAGTTGTTTTTATTGTTGTTGTTTTTATTATTTTTATTGTACGAATGGGGCTCGATATGTTTAAGCCTTACTCAAATGTGAATTTATGATTTTTAAAAATAATTATTGTTGTTATTATTATTATTAAAATTATTATTATATGGTGAATGGCACATAAATACAATAATATATCTGACATAATATGACAAGTATAGACAAAACACAGAAAATTAACGTCTATATACTATTAGTTACAGAAGTCACTTAGCCCCCAAGCAAATTGTTTAGCGGTTAGGGTCGGTCCACATAAAATTTATTTCGCTGGGTCGCCTCAGCCGCCTGAATAATATTTAGGTGCCCTCACAGTGCCTTAGCTTAAAGGTACCGGCGCCCATGCCAGCACTGTTTGCCACTCTGTTGCCAGAAAGTCGCACTAAGACAAATTCCAACATGCCATCTTGCAACCACTGCAAATTGTTCTGACATACAGCTCGGGAATGAGCGATAACCGGTGTTTCTCTAACTCAGTACCCCGGAGTTCATGTTACACGATGGCTATCGGAGATTTATTTAATCAACACAAATCTCCAGTTTCTCGGCCGGGTCCAGCGAAAGTGTTTACTTTCTCTTCGCTTCATGGCCGGCATGATTCCCGCTTGGACTTCAGTTCTTCATCTGCCAATGGCGTCGTTTCTGTTATTCCCAGTCCATTCCGTCCTCTGGTATGTTGTTAGTCTTCTGCCATATGCCATTCATTATTTCTTTCAGTACCTACAGTCTGGATCAGAATTCGCCTGCACGCCTGTTTTTTTTCGCGGAAATTGTTATTTTAACCTACTTAGTTATAGTTATGAGGAGCGGCTGGCTTATTGGTTAGGAGCGCTAGGTTCTCATGACGGAAACCCAGGTTCGAACCATCAGTAGTTTAGGACTTTTTTTTTTTCGTTGGTGACATCACCAGCCATGCGGCCCTGAATCCTCAGTCTCAAAGACCCAAATGCCTACACCACAAAAGGGGTTAAATACAGGCAGTAATGGAAGTTATAGTTATAAGTGCCTCTGTAGCGTAGCGGGTGGATGATGGCTCGCCAACACAAAGGTCTTGGGTTCAAATTTTTCTCAGAAATAATCTTGATTCCCAGGTCGAATCGACATAAAATTAGTACGAGTAAATGTCCTGGGAGGTGAAGGCAAGGCCGAGCATATCATTCACACAGAGCCTATTAGGCGACAAACAAAATAGCTTCATTTAGCATCATATGCTCGACGCACTATCATCATCATCAGGTGCCTTGCCGACTGGCGTAGGCGATCATGCCTCTCCATGTTCCACTATCTCCTGTAGCATGAATCAGTTCGTGTGCCGACACACCTTCATGCCATGCAACAAGACTGTCAAGAATTTTCTCTCGTTGTCTTCCTCTATCCCTCCTTCCAAAGATCTTTCCAGTGATCACAAGTTCTATTTTCCCTATTCTCATATGGCCGAACAATCATGACTGGCTCCTTCTGATGTCTGTGATAAATTGTCTACGGGCTCCTGCCTCTCTCAAAACCTCCTGGTTGCTCTTTTTGGCTGTCCAATGTATTCTAAGCATTCTTCTGTAAAACCCCATCTCTGAGGCCTCAAGAAACTGTTTGGCCTGTCTACCGATTGTTCAGGATTCACAGCCATATGTTAAAACTGGATGTATGTAGCAAGCGAGTATTCGTTTTATAACTCTCAATGACAAAGATATATTGCACAAGATGTTCTTCATTTTATAAAAGTATAGACGCACTAAAGACTTTTTAAATCTCTTTTATGATGGATTTACAAATACAGTGGTAATTCGGTACATATCATTAATCTGTTTCCGCGTCTCACACTTATAACAAACGCGACGGGAAACTATTTGCGCATAAAAAAGGGACACAATGAATAATCCGGGGGGGGGGGGGGGGGGGGGGGGGGTGCTATTACCATTATGTTGTTGTTGACGGGGTTGTATACAAAAATTTAAACACTTTCTAATACTAACACACATAAATACCCCCCCCCCCCCTTTTTTTCCCTTTTTCCATCCACCCCCCCCCCCTCCCCCCCAATAATTTGATGAAATAAATGACAATATAACCTCACTTAACATACTGAGAAAAGTCGAGTGCCTACTAGGATGATGTTGACAAAGGAAGAGGAGGAAATGTTATTGTTTGGAAGGAAAGTTTATTTTCAATAAAACATAAAGAATCTGTCATTCTGGGGATGGTATTGTTTTTTACTTTTCTGAGTTGTTCTCTACTTAGACCTGGATTAAGCTAAAAAGCTCTAGCTTGCAAGCTGCATTCCTAACAAAGGTCGTATAGCAAGCACAATGTTTTGCCTAAAAACAGGATGCATACTAACAAAAACCATACAAACTTTCCAACACAGTCCCTTATCCACAACTCACAGGCCGCGCTATGCACTCGTCTCGGCAGCTAGGCGACAATATGAGATTCAAAAAGGTTCATGCGAACAAGGATGTTTATATCTTATGATGGGTGCACATTGCTTATTTTATTCCTTCTTTCTAGCATGCCATTTTAAAGAATTTTGAGAAAGATTGTTTCCTAGTTCGTTTCGCTTTTTTTTTTTCGGAATGCTTCTGCTTCACTCCTTGTATTCACCATTTGTTTATTGTCAGCTGTTAGGTAATCCAGAGCATGTTCTAGCTCCCAGTTCCCCGCTCACCCCATCTCTTTTTACAGAGCATGCACTGCGTCAAACCACGACCGGCATCAACTGACGGGCCGTACTACTGACGTCACCGGGTAGGGTTAACAATGCGTTAACGCAGGGGTTCTAAAACTAGGTGCCAAGGTACCTTGGCGTGCCGTAAGCGTATGCCAAGAGTGCCGCGGCAATAATCACAAAAAGTCGCCTAAAATTTGTAAAATTATAAAACAAGAAGGCATGTAAATACTTAAAAGTTAAAATATAAGTTTTCTTCCCTTGCCACTGTCGACAATAGTTTATTTTTTGTTTGATAACCGCTGCGTTAACGCATGGTTAGCCCGACCAGGTGACCTCAGCAGAACGGTCCGACAACGGCAGTGGTCAAATTATACTGACTTCGTGTGTCAGACAGACGCTTGACAACGCAAACTATTTCTAAAGATTCTGCCAGTACATTCCCACTGAAAAAACTGAATATATTGTTGAACCAAGTCAAAGAAGTCTACACACTGTAGACAACCTTCTGAGGGTTTTACTTCCACCTAATTTAGGCTGCGACCAGCACGTGGGCACACAGATTAATCCGAGCTTGCAATCCAGTAAATCGTCGAGACATATTCGAGGCGCTATCGTACGAAGGAATCGTACGTTGAACTACCGCAATCTGATAGTGGAAGTTTGTTCTCATTAAGAAAATCAACACCAGGGTCTGCTAGATGCTTTGCTTCATGAGAAAATATGGGAATTAACATCAAGAAACGTTTCATAGTTGAAAGAGAGAGAGAGAGAGAGAGAGAGAGAGAGAGAGAGAGAGAGAGAGAGAGAGAGAGAGAGAGAGAGAGAGAGAGAGAGAGAGAGAATATATTTCGGTGTTATATTACATAGAATTAATTTCAACATAAAACATCGTTTCACAATTGCAAGTCACTTCATAGACACAGATTAGCATAGGGGCTATATGGCCGTGGGTACCAGGCAAGTGCTCAGCGGACCCATGCGGTAAGGCGGCCCTGGATTGAAGAAGTGTTTCCAAATGGTGGTCGATACACAACAATGGTTGCTCCAAGATATGAACGGACGTGTACAGTCATGTCTTGAATCCCGTAGTGAACTTCACCAACACTTGTTTTAATGAATATGTTATTGGTACTCACCAGCTTTCCCGAAAAAGCGTTAGACCATAACACTGACTAGTGTAACTAAATTAATGCCATTTGAGCACATTTTTTTTTTATGGAGCAATATTCTTAATTTTTCAAATTTTTTCTGTAATCAAAGCGTGAGGAAACGTTACAAACACCCTGTATGTATGTATGTATGTATGTATGTATGTATGTATGTATGTATGTATGTATGTATGTATGTATGTATGTATGTATGTATGTATGTATGTATGTATGTATGTATGTATGTATGTATGTATGTATGTATGTATGTATGTATGTATGTATGTATGTATGTATGTATGTATGTATGTATGTATGTATGTATGTATGTATGTATGTATGTATGTATGTATGTATGTATGTATGTATGTATGTATGTATGTATGTATGTATGTATGTATGTATGTATGTATGTATGTATGTATGTATGTATGTATGTATGTATGTATGTATGTATGTATGTATGTATGTATGTATGTATGTATGTGTATGTATGTATGTATGTATG